CACTCCAGCCTGGGCGACAGAGCGAGACCCCATCTCAAAAAAAAAAAAAAAAAAGATAGTCAAACTCATAGAAAAATGGGTGAAGGAGGCCAGGCATGGTGGCTCACACCTATCATCCCACTATCATCCCAGCACTTTGGGAGGCTGAGGCAGGAGGATCACTTGAGGCCAGGAGTTCAAGACCACCCTGGATGCTGTAGCAAGACCTGAAAAAAAAAAAAAAAAATTAGCCAAGCATGGTGATGCACACCTGTAGTCCTAGCTATCTGGGAGGCTGAAGCGGGAGGATGGCTTCAACCCAGGAGTTCGAGGTTATAGTGAGCTATGATCATACCATTGCACTTTAGCCTGGGTGACAGGGATGGAGGGAAATGGGATATTGTACAGCTTCAGTGAGGCTCTCAGAACGGTGTCTGGCACATAGTATGTGCTGAGATGTATTCTCTGTTACTGAGTGTTGAACTCCAAGGCATAAATTGATGGGGTCATGCCCTGGGTGAGCAGACAGGCTGGCAGAGGGGCCGGATTCTTTAGGCCCTGGCCTGAGTCACTCCTAACCACTGGTGTGTCTCCTGTTTTCCTACAGAGCCTTTGTGGCATGTGCCCGCCCAGAGCAGGCTCTCAGCCATAGCCGGAAGCAGCGGGAACAAGCACCCGTCCAGGCAGGATGCAGCAGGCAAAGATTCCCCCAACAGGCATTCCAAAGTGAGTCTGGGCACCACCCTGCCCCACTGGGGGAGCCAGGCCTACCTGGGTGTGGCCTGGGAGCTTCATACTTGGGCACATCCTCCACCTCTGCCACCTTCCACTCAGCAGAGGAGTTGAATACTTGGTCTGGAGTTGGAAACCAGGTTCACATTCTGGCTCCAGCCCTCGTCAGCAGTCATCTTAGGCAAATCTCTTACCTCCTCGAGCTGCAGTTTCCTCTTTGTTCCATCAGTCATGGTAAATCAGCTGCTGTAACAGACAGCCCCGAATCTCAGTGACCTCATACAGTAGAAGTGGATTTCCCTCTCCTGTAACAGCACAGTGCAGGTATTCAGTGAGCATCTACCCACCATCCACATGGTGATTCAGAGCCCGGGCTCCCTCCCTCTTGTGGCTCTGCTCTTCCGCAGAGGTTCCAAGCCCTCTGCTAGGTCCCTGCATCTTTCCAGCAGTGGAGGTGAGTGAGAGAAAAGATCATGTGGGAGGTGTTTTTTAGCCCAGGCCTGGAAATGGCATGAATCACTTCCATTCCATCATGTGGCCACACCTAACTGCAAGGGAGGCTGGGAAGTGTAGTCTTACATGTCCCAGGAAGGCTGGGAAATGTAGTCCTGTGTGTCCAGGAGGAGTAGATGGTTTACAGGGGCTCTTGGCAATCTCTTTGTATCCATTCATTCAGTGGGTGTTTGACAAGCCCTTACAACACTCCAGGCATTGGGACCATGATGATGAAGAGGACAGACCAGCCCTGTCCTCAGGAAGCTGACTTCCCAGTGGGGGCAGCAAGCAGTAAGAAGATAAACAGATCTGTTGTATAAGAAAAAGCGCGGGCTGGGCGTGGTGGCTCACGCCTGTAATCCCAGCACTTTGGGAGGCCAAGGCGGACAGATCACCTGCAGTCAGGAGTTCGAGACCAGCCTGGGCAACCTAATAAAACCCCATCTCTACTAAAAATACAAAAATTAGCCAGGTGTGGTGGCAGGCACCTGTAATCCCAGCTCCTTGGAAGGCTGAGGCATGAGAATAGCTTGAACCCAGGAAGCGGAGGCTGCAGTAAGCCGAGATTGCACCACTGCACTCCAGCCTGGGCGACAAAGCGAGACTCCATCTCAAAAAAAAAAAAAAGAAGAAAGAAAAGAAAACGCACAGTCCAAGGGAGAGAGTGACAAGCACTGCAGCTCGAGGATGACGTGGTCAGAGAGGGCCTTTGAGGGGGTGACCTTTGAGCAGAAACCTGGAGTGAAGGAAGGAGCAGCCCACGAAGATCCCTCAGGGAAGAGCATTGCAGGCAGAGGGAGCAGCAGGTGCAGAGGCCCTGAGGGGGAGTGCCCAGTGTGTTCAGAGAACAGCAAGGGGGCCACCATGGCCGCAGCAACGTGATCAGGAGGGAGGGGAGATGACGTCGGAAACCAAGACCCAAGCATCAAAGCCCCGTGGGCCGTGGTGGGAACTCTCACTTGTGCCTGGAGTAAGATGGAGCCACAGGTGGGGGACATAATGTAACTCAGGTGTTCCCAGCCTCCCACTGGCTGCGCATGGGGAATAAACGGGGATGAGGGTGCAGAGAGACCAGGGAGGAGGCTGCTGCACTGGCCCCGGGGAGAGGACAGGACAGGCATGGACAGGACCAGGCAGAGCCGTGGAGCAGGAAGTGACAGGTCCCGGATCTGTGTTGAGGACGCAGGCAGCAGGGTTTGCTGTTGGGCTGGACGTGAGTGAGAGCAAAAGCAGGGTCAAGGTGAGTCCACGGCTCTTGGCAGGGGCAGCTGAAAGCATGGCTGGAGTCACTGAGACAGGGAAGATGGTGCCGAGCTCAGTCTTAAATTCTCTGAGTCTGAGGTGTGGGAAGCACGTTCTGTACGTGATGTCATTTGTTCCTCCGAGCCAGTCCCGTTAGGCAGGCTTACTATCACCCTCCACTGTACAGAGGTGGAAACTGAGGCAAAGGGACGGTAAATCACTTGCCCAAGGTAACACAGCCAGTAGATGAGAAGCCAGGATTTGAAGCTGTCTGGTCCCAGGGTTCAGGCCCAGGCGGAGGGAGGACCCAGCGAGGGAAGATGCGCCCCTGCCCTGGAGTCTGGGAATGACACGCTTCTCTTGCCCTCAGGGAGAACCTCAGTACTCAAGTCATTCCAGCAGCAACACCCTCTCTAGCAACGCATCCAGCAGCCACAGTGACGACCGCTGGTTCGACCCCCTGGACCCCCTAGAGCCGGAGCAAGACCCCCTCTCTAAGGGTGGCTCCAGCGACAGTGGCATCGACACCACCCTCTACACCTCCAGCCCCAGCTGCATGTCCCTGGCCAAGGCTCCACGGCCCGCCAAGCCACACAAGCCCCCTGGAAGTATGGGCCTTTGTGGCGGAGGTCGCGAGGCCGCCGGGAGGTCCCACCACACAGACAGGCGGCGGGAGGTCTCCCCTGCCCCCACAGTTGCTGGCCAAAGCAAGGGCTACCGACCGAAGCTGTACTCCTCCGGCTCCAGCACCCCCACGGGACTGGCAGGGGGCAGCCGAGACCCACCGAGGCAGCCCAGGTAAGCTCTTGAACCTAGTCTGGGTTCTGGCCACCTTCTACTTCTGCCAGTTGTACTTCTAGGGTCCTGATGGTGGGGTTCTCCTCCCCAGAAACACACTCACGGATGCATGCGCCTAGTCACTGGTTTGCTGATAGAATTGGGGTGCTCATGGACCTCTGCCTTATTGCCCATCCATCAGCCTTCAGGGACTCCAGGTGGAAGGAAAGAAACCCCTGGCCTTCTGTCTGTTTTCATCTGTCTCTGGTTCTCTCTGACCCCCTGTCTCTTTTTTCTTTGCTCTCTGCTGAGACCAAAAGTTTGTATGCTTTCTCAAGGGTCACAGACTGTATCTGTTAGAGTGCATTTGACTGGAGGCAATAGGAAACCTGACCCACTATGGCTTAAACAAATAGAGGTGTAACCAACAGTCCCCTGACATGAAGTCCAGGGAGGGCACAGCCAGGTTAGTGATGCGGCTCATGGAGAGCCTGAAGGATTGGCGCTCTGTATCTCCCTGCGCGGCATCTTTACTGTGCTGGCTCATGTCTCCCTGCCTTGAGATGGAGCTGTGGTGTCTGGCGAGTGGCAGTCGGGGGCAGAGAACAGAGGGAAAGGTGGCAGCCTCCAAGCACCTTTCCCTTCCTATGGAGAAAGCAAGCACTTTCCCAGAACCCCCTTCAGCAGCTGGCATCACGGGGCCATCCCAGCTACAAGGAGGTCTGGAAGGTCATGGTTTGGCCTTCCAGGCTCTACAATATAGGGCGATGGTCCCCAAAGAAGCCGTCGAAGGCTTGTTCAGCCCAGCTGCTGGGCCCCACCCAGAGTTTCTGATTCAGTAGGTTGGAGCGGGAGACCTGAGAACATGCATTGGTGTTTTTTGTTTGTTTTTTAGACGGAGTTTTGTTCTGTTCACCAGGCTGGAGTGCAGTGGTGCGGTCTCGGGCTCACTGCACCCTCCACCTCCCAGGATCAAGCGATTCTCCTGCCTCGGCCTCCCGAGTTGCTGAGATTACAGGTGCCCACCACCATGCCCAACTAATTTTTGTATTTTTATATTTTTAGTAGAGACAGGGTTTCACCATGTTGGCCAGGCTGGTCTCAACTCCTGACCTGAAGCGATCCGCCCACCTCAGCCTCCCAAAGTGCTGGGATCACAGGTGTAAGCCACCGTGCCTGGCTGAGAATATGCATTAAGTTCTCAGTAGATGCTGATGCTGCTGGTCCCAGAGACCACACTTTGAGAGCCGCTGGTAGAGAGGCAGACAGGAGTAAGAGAGAAAGAGCAGGCATTGGCCGGGCGCGGTGGCTCACGCCTGTAATCCCAGCACTTTGGGAGTCCAAGGCGGGTGAATCACGAGGTCAGGAGATCGAGACTATCCTGGCCAACGTGGTGAAACCCCGTCTCTACCAAAATACAAAAAAATTAGCCAGGCATGGTGGCGGGCGCCTGTAGTTCCAGCTACTCGGGAGGCTGAGGCAGGAGAATCGCTTGAACCCAGGAGGCAGAGGTTGCAGTGAGCCGAGATGGCGCCACTGCACTCCAGCCTGGCAACAGAGTGAGACTCTATCTCAAAAAAAAAAAAAAAAAGCAGGCATTGGCCAGCCAGCAGCCTGGAGGCCCGACCACACACACTGACGTTCTGATGGAGGCGGTGAGCCACCTTCTAGAAAAGGGCACAGAGATGGGAAAAGTATTTCACACAAACAGAGCTCAGCCTCATCCTTGGACCCCCTTAGGGTGCTGCGACCCCAGCAGGGCTTGCTGTGCTGTAGTGTTCAGTGCCAGCCCCTGAGTCCACAGCTCCACATCCCTTCCTGACCATGCCTGAGGTGGGCTAACCTGAATCCCCGATTCCTATCAGGGCTCAGAACCTGGTTGGTGCAGGGATCTTCCTCTCCAGTGGCTCCCTAAACCCTTTGCCAGTCCTCAAACCCCAGCCTCTCTCCACACAGGACACCTACACGCAGGCAGCCAACTCAGACTTCTGACCACAGTCTGCAGTAGAATTGTGTCCATCTACACAGAAATATTTATGTTTAAAAAACAAAATGGCTTTGCGCGGTGGCTTACACCTGTAATCCCAGCACTTTGGGAGACCGAGGCAGGCAGATCACAAGGTCAAGAGATTGAGACCATCCTGGCCAACATGATGAAACCCCATCTCTACTAAAAATACGAAAATTAGCTGGGCGTGGTGGTGCACACCTGTAGTCCCAGCTACTTGGGAGGCTGAGGCAGGAGAATCGCTTGAATCCGGGAGGCAGAGGTTGCAGTGAGCAAAGATCACACCACTGCATTCCAGTCTGGCGACAGAGCGAGACTCTGTCTCAAAAAAAAAAAAAAAAAAAAAAAAGGTGAAGCAGTGGTTTCCAAAATAATTCTTAATCTGTGTGTGATACACTTTGATCCAGTCTACTGTATCTAAAAATGTTTAATGCCAGTCAATCCCCACTCAAATGATGTCATGGCTTACAGTGTTCTCTGACAGATTTGAAAACTGCTGTGTTTGAGTGACTGTAATGTCAGCACTTTCCCGGGCACACCGTGATCCAAGGATCTCCTTGCGTCAAAGAGCCAGAAGAAGGGCTGAAGGAGGAAAGAGGAGATAGAGAGAGAGACTGTCTGAGTGTTTTAGATCTCTGTTCATCTCCCTAGACAAGTGGCTGTTTGTTTTTTAGAAACAGGTCCCGCTCTGTCACCCAGGCTGGGGTGCACTGGTACAATCATAGCTCACTGCAGCCTCGAACTCCTGGGCTCAAGTGTTTCTCCCACCTCAGCACCCCCAAGTAGCTGAGACTACAGGTGCGCACCCCCAGGCCCAGCTAATTTTTTAAGTTCGTTAGTAGAGAAATGGTCTCACTATGTTGCCCAGGCTGGTCTCAAACTCCTGGGCTCAAGGGATCCTCCTACCTAGACCTCTCAAAAGTGCTGGGATTACAGGCATGAGCCACCACACCTGGTGACGAGTACCTCTTAATCTTTTGAACACATGGGCTCTTTTGAATGGCTCATTCATTCATTCATTTATTCCATTCATAAGTATTCTTAGGGATTTGCTCTGTCCCAGACACTGTGCTGGGAACTGAGAGAAATCACAAGCACATCTGGATGAGGCCCCCAGGCCTCCCCACCATCCAATGAGGGAAACAGATGAGAATCAGATTGTCACTGAGACAAATGAATAACTGTGGCCACCGGGGTCGAGCGCAGTGGCTCACGCCTATAAACCCAGCACTTTGGGAGGCCAAGGTGGGAGGATCACCTGAGGTCAGGAGTTCAAGACCAGCCTGGCCAACGTGGTGAAACCCCGTCTCTACTAAAAATACAAAAATTAGCCAGGCATGGTGGCGGGCGCCTGTTATCCCAGCTACTCGGGAGGCTGAGGCAGGAGAATCACTTGAACCTGGGAGGTGGAGGGTGCCGTGAGCCGAGACTGCGCCACTGCACTCCAGCCTGGGGAATAGAATGAGACTCCATCTAAAAAAAAAAAAAAAAAAACAAAAACAACCAATGCATTCACTCCAGCCTGGGTGACAGAGGAAACTCTGTCTCAAAAATTAAATAAATAAATAAATAAAACACTGTGGGGAGGGGGGAACCTGTCCCACGAAGAGGGACATGGGGCCAAGAAAGTCTACACTAGGGGTCTCAGGTCTCCGTTGTGGTAGCCCCCGTTCCAGGCACGGAACTGCCACCTTAGTGAACCCAAACAACTGGGAGGCTTTGAAATCCGAGACATAAAGACAGCCAGGCCTGGAGTAGACTGTGGCTGAGATGGGAGGGTGGGTATGAAATCCTCCTGTGTCTAAGGAAAGGATCTGCTGAACCCAGAAACGAAGGGAATGAAATGGGAGAGGAGCCCGCTGCAAAAGAGGGCCCTGCGGTTGGGAGCTTTAATTTGCATACAGACAATTGATGCTAATTGCAAATCATTCTTATCTACTCATTAAAGCTGCTTCCTGAAGTTTTCTCCTAGGCAACCAGGCTTGAGAGTGGCGCAGCATTTCCCAAAATGGGGTGCTTGAGGTGATTTGGGTGGTGCGGGGAGGAAAATATTTTATTTTAAATGGATATATGCTTGCTTTAATGAGTATTAGAAAAAACTGTTTGCAAATCACCCCCTGATTTTACAGAAACCACCTTGGACAAGTCAAGGAGAAAATAAAATGAGTTGATTTAAAGAACTATATCCAGGCTGGGCTCCATGGCTCACGCCTGTAATCCCAGCACTCTGGGAGGCCAAGGCAGGTGGATCACTTGAGGCCAGGGGTTCCAGACCAGCCTGACCAACATGGTAAAACGCCATATCTACTGAAAATACAAAAATTAGCCAGGCGTGGTGGCGCATGCCTGTGGTCCCAGCTATTCTGGAGGCTGAGGCGGGAGAATCGCGTGAGCCTGGGAGGCAGAGGTTGCAGTGAGCTGAGATCGTGCCGCTGCACTTCAGCCTCAGCAACAGAGCAAGACTCAGTCTCAGAAAAAAAAAAAAAGAAACATATCCATGTGGATAAGAGTGTGACCTTCAGTGTCAGCCCACTTGCGTTCAATCCCTCCCTCAGCCACTTCTTGGCTGTGTACCCCCCGGGCAAGTGACTGAACTTCTGTGGGCCTCAGTTTCCTCATTTGTAAAACTAGGGATAAACCACATCCCTACCTAATAGGGATGTGGTGAAGATTGAATGTACCCTTAGAACAGTGCTTGGACTTGAAGACTGCCTGTCAGAATCATGGGGTATGAGGGGGTATTTGAAAAACACACAAAAATGAGGCCTTGCCTGGTCCAAGCCCTGTTACAGGCAGTGTTGGGGGCACAGCAGTGACTGAGGGAGCCCCGGTCCTGCCTGACAGATGCATTCCCAGAGACAGCCCAGAGGGATCAGGTCAAGATAGGGGAGGCCCAGGCAGAGGGGTCAGGGTCAGGGTGGGGGGCCCAGGCTGAGGGGTCAGGGCTGGGATACAAGGGAGCCAGGAAGAGGAGTCAGGGTAAGATGAGGGGACACAGGTAGAGGGGCCAGGG